ATGAGAGTTGAGAAGCGAGAGTTTGCATGAGAGTTGATGAGAGTTGAGAAGCGAGAGTTTGCATGAGAGTTGATGAGAGTTGAGAAGCGAGAGTTTGCATGAGAGTTGATGAGAGTTGAGAAGTGAGAGTTTGCATGAGAGTTGATGAGAGTTGAGAAGCGAGAGTTTGCATGAGAGTTGATCAGAGTTGAGAAGCGAGAGTTTGCATGAGAGTTGATGAGAGTTGAGAAGCGAGAGTTTGCATGAGAGTTGATCAGAGTTGAGAAGCGAGAGTTTGCATGAGAGTTGAGAAGCGAGAGATTGCATGAGAATTGATGAGAGTTGAGAAACGAGAGTTTGCATGAGAGTTGATGAGAGTTGAGAAGCGAGGGTTTACATGAGAGTTGATGAAAGTTGAGAAACGAGAGTTTGCATGAGAGTTGATGAGAGTTGAGAAGCGAGAGTTTACATGAGAGTTGATGAGAGTTGAGAAGCGAGAGTTTGCATGAGAGTTGATGAGAGTTGAGAAGCGAGAGTTTGCATGAGAGTTGATGAGAGTTGATGAGAGTTGAGAAGCGAGAGTTTACATGAGAGTTGATGAGAGTTGAGAAACGAGAGATTGCATCAGAGTTTGCTCAACTTTCATGCCCCGGTCAAACGAAAACAAGAGTTACACGAGAGTTGACTTATATTACAGAGCGCGTAAAAACTCTGATCAAGATCAACCCATTAAAATTTGAATCAGTTCAAAGTTGATGAAGGGTGCATGAGAGTCGATTAAAGTTGCATGCGAGTCAAACACGAACGAGAAATGCAACTATCATCTTCGTTTAACCGGAGCTTAAGACCGAACATTCACAGATATGGTATTGGGAGAGCAATGCATGCATTTAAGTAATCTTGAGGCCTACCGTTCTGTCCCATTTTTTTCATCCAAAACTCCCAGCTTGTTTTCTTTATTTGGATGTTTCCTGTTACAAAAAGTGCAAATTATTTCAATTATAGATTTATCGCTTGCGTGTGGGTCCCGGTTATTGTATTTATCTTGTTGGTGAATTATGGAATTTCAAATAATACTGTACTGTACCTCGGTACGTTAGTTTGTATTTTGCTAGAACTTTTCGAAGTATTAAGCTTAAACCTAAATAAATAAATAAATAAATAAATAGAACTGTTAGAGCTATCCAGTATAAATAAAGTCCGTTTAGTTTAGGTTTCCTCCTGTAGTAACACTGGATCAATAAAAGATGATTCTTACTGGACCTCTAGGAAGAAGAGTTTCGAACTGATAGAGCTATTCAGTTTAAATAAAGTTAGTTTAGTTTAGGTTTCCTCCTGTAGTAACACTCGATCAATAAGAGATGTTCCTTACTGAACCTCTAGAAAGAACAGTTGAGAACTGATAGAGCTATCCAGTTTAAATAAAGTTAGTTTAGTTTAGGTTTCCTCCTGTAGTAACACTGGATCAATAAGAGATGATCCTTACTGGACCTCTAGGAAGAACAGTTTCGAACTGACAGAGCTATCCAGTTTAAATAAAGTTAGTTTAGTTTAGGTTACCTCCTGTAGTAACACTGGATCAATAAGAGATGTTCCTTACACTGCACCTCTAGGAAGAACAGTTTAGAACTGCTATAGAGCTATCCAGTATAAATAAAGTCCGTTTAGTTTAGGTTCGTCCTGTAGTAACACTGGATCAATAAAAGATGATCCTTAATGGACCTCTAGGAAGAGCAGTTAGAGCTACCCAGTATAAATAATGTTAGTTATTTGAAGCAGTTGGCTTACATTTGAGACAAGGTTTTCTGTTTCTTCAAAGCGTTATTTTTGACAATCTTCTTTTCTTTTTCACTGAAATCGTCGTCCAACATAACCACGTCATGCTGGAAAATAAATTGACTTTGTTAGATGCAAGCTGTTTTCAAACAGCACTGTAAATAGCTTGTGGAAACACCTCCAGAAACATGCATGCAGAGAAAGAGATTCGTTATCCATCAAATGGCGGCAGAGCTGGATAATTTTCCTTCTGGGAACTTGGGTTTAGGGCTGAAAATTTTCCG